AAATATGCCATTGTCTGCTTTGGATTAGCAAGGAAATAGAGTGCATTTTCTGGATATCGTTGTAATATATCAACATTCAGCAAAAGCTACAGCTTTAAAGACCACTATTACACACGAAGGCAGAAGGAAGCCTGTTGCATACTGAATGTTCTAGCTGGTGATTATACACACTTAAATCCTCTTGACTGATGAATAGCCACCCTCTCCATGAGAGGGCACTCCTACTGGAAGCTCACATGTAACAGTGTTACAGGAAACTTGCACCTAACGAGCAATTCAGAGCCACTCACTCAGTTAACTCTGTTGTGAAAAAAATGATCACATATGTAACAAACCTGCAGGTTGTGCACATGTACCCTAGAACATAAAGTATAATTTAAAAAAAATGATATGCCCCAGTTTGATCCTCTCTTCATCCAACAAAACTTAGTACTAAATAGCATGATTTTAACAGAGATTAACGTTTTAATCTATATATGGAATAATTAGCAAAACAACAACTTGTGTTTTGTTCTATTAAATATATTAAAGGCTGAATATAACTTTCTTAATGTCTGAAATAAATCTGGAAACAACAAACCTAGACATCCACTTAGTTTGTAACTTAAGTAAACTGAGTTTAATTAGAAATTAAATAGTTGGACAAATCCAAATAGGGCAAAAACATTGAAATAACTAATTAATTTGGAAATATTTGATCGCAGAGGGGAATGTTGGTTACTCACTTAAATCTGTACTAGTAGGAGGCTTTACTTTGGTGGATAAAATGGGAGCATAAAATATGCCTAATATTGAATATCAGCAATTAAATTTCATATATTTTTATAAACTGATTACTATGGTGCTATCAATATAAACTGAAGCATGTATCTTAAAATAACCCCAGAAGAATAGATACATTGCAAAGACTGAACATGGTGTTATTTGACAAAACAAATAACGTATAGAAATTGGGTTATTTCATTTGTAGCAACTCAGCATAATTCTATCTAATAAGAGGTGTATAGAGGATAAATGCAGAAATATCACAAAGCAAAGTAACATCCTAGAAAAAAAGCCAGTTTTTAATATTTTTATTGAAAATAATAATGAAGATATATATATAATCATATATGTATATATTTTAGATTATTAGTGATTATTTAGAAAAGGTCTCACAAACATTTTAGGATATAAAAGTACTTTATATCCTAAGAGAGGCTATCATGTTATACTCATTCCAATAAGATGAACACATTTGGCTGCAATACCGTGTAAATAATAATAATAATCTCCCCTTGGAACGAAACATGGTTTTTCATGTTTTCCTTTCATCACATCAGAGCCTGAAAAATGCTTGGACCCCTAACAGACATAGTCAATAAATATTTGTTGAACGAATGGAGAAGATATATACTCTATCATATATTCTACTTAAATTTCGATACAGTAAGAAGAGTTTAGGAGAGTTAGCTTCCATTATTCTCAATTAAAGATACCACGTGGCCTGTATGGCAGAAATGTCTCTTCAGAATATTTAGCCTTTGATTTTATAATGAACTCAAAAACAACTTTTATGTTAATGTCTGAAATCAGAAACTCTATTGTTATAATTGTATTTCAGATTAGAGTTCAAAATCTGCTTGAGGTTTGATTATCTGCTTGGCGTCCAGAATCAAAGCAGAACCAAGATTCCTTGTCATGTCTTTGACTGGAGAGGAGGAATTTTCTAGTCCCTGTCAACTGAGGGTGCTGCATTTATTCCTGGGCCTATGTAGGCATCTTAGATTCAGTTTTTGCTTGAAAACACATACAAATCTTATTACCTCGCCCTGCAACAGGAGCACTGACATCCAAGCACCTGGCGGATCTCAATACATGCAGAAATGCACTTGATAAAATTGAACATTTGTTAGTTATAGTTATAAAGATCTTAGCAAATCAGAAAGATAAGGAATACTTTCAAGTTGACAAAACCTACAGTGACTATAATACTAAATTGTGAAAGACTGATGAGTACCCGCTAAGGTTGAGAACAAGGTAAGGATGTCTCTTCTCACCATTTCTATTCAACATGAGGCTGAGGTCTTAGTGAAAATAATAAGGGAAGAAAAAGGGATAGAGGCATACAAACTGGGAAAAACAAAACTGCCTTTATTAACAGATGTTATAATTAGCTATTAAGAAAATCTCAAAAAGTCTACAAAAATGCTAAACTGATTTAAACGTGAAATTTCCAAGGTCATAGAATGCCAGGTCAACATATATATATGATATATGTTTATATATATAATATGTATATATAATCACACCCTTGTATATGAGCTAAAAATAACTGAAAATTGAAATTAGAAAATATAATACCATTTGCAATATATCAAAAATATGAAATTATTCAGAATAGACCTAGTAAAATATAACAAGTTTGTGTGCTGGAAATTCAAAATCATTGATTAAAAAATCAACATAAAAGTAAAGCAATGGAAAGATACACTATGTTTATGGAATAAAATACTAGATATTATTTAAATCTCAGTTCTACCCAAAATTGATTTATAATTTCAATTCAATCCCTATCAAAATCCCATCAGGTATTTTTGTTGAATTAACAAGTTGATTCTAAAACTTACATGAAAATGCAAACCTTGAGAATAACTAAAACAATATTTTAAAGAACAAATGCAGAGGATTCATATGGTTTGATTTAAAGTCACACTATAAAGCTATAGTAAGATAAAGTTGCATTGAGGTAAAGTATAGAAATGTACAGAATAATTTGCAACAGAATATAGTGTCTAAAGATAGATCTCCACGTATATAGTCAGCTGGTATTCTACAATGATTGATTTTCAATGGTGAAAGAAGAGGCTTTTTTTACAAATGATGCTTGATTAACTTGGTGATCGTATGAAAAAAGATGAGTCTTGATCTTCACCTTTCTTGTTATAAAAAATATTAAGTTGAAATAGATCAGAGGCCTGAATGTAACATGTAAAACTCTAGAACTTCTAGAAAAAATATGTGAGAAAATCTTTATGAACATGGTTAGGAAAAGATTTCTTAGATAAGGCAAGAAAATGGGATAAATAATGAAAATAAAAAATAGAAAAATTGGACTTTATAAAAATTAAGAACTCCTGCTCTTAAAAATCACCATTAAGAAAATTAAAAGGTAATCCACAGAATGGGAGAAAATATTTGCAAATCATATATCAGATAAGGAATTTGTATCCCGAATATACAAAGAATTCTTACAACTCAAGAAGCCAAACAATTTGGTTAAAAAAATTAGGTAAAATGTGGCCGGGCGCAGTGGCTCACACCTGTAATCTCAGCTACTTTGGGAGGCCGAGGCGGGCGGATCACGAGGTTAGGAGATCGAGACCATCCTCGTTAACCAGGTGAAACCCCATCTCTACCAAAAATACAAAAAAAAAAAATTACCCGCATGTGATGGCGGGCGCCTGTAGTCCCAGCTACTTGGGAAGCTGAGACAGGAGAATGGCGTGAACCCAGGAGGTGGAGTTTGCACTGAGCTGAGGTGGCGCCACTGCACTCCAGCCTGGGGGACAGAGCGAGAGTCCGTCTCAAAAAAAAAAAAACAAAAATTAGGTAAAATATTTGAAAAGACACTTTACCAAAAAACAATGATAGTGATGACAAACAAAAAGATGATCAACATTATTAATCATTAGGGGAATGCAAATTAAAAACATAAGGAAATATCACTATTTATTGGAACATTTAAAATAAAAATAAAGATAAGGTAACAAAAACATGTTCTGGTAAGGATGAACAACCAAACGCTCATATGTTTTTGATGAGAATGTAAATTACTATAGCCACTTTGGAAAACAGATTAGCACTTTATGTTATAAATTCATACATGCACTTATTGTATAACTGAGGAATTCCATTTCCAGGTTTTTACCAAGGAAAATGAAAATGTATGTCTGTACAGTATCTGTACATGAATGTTTATAGCAATTTTATATGAAACAACCCCAAACTGAAAACAACTATAGTGTCCATTAATTGGTAAATAAATAAACTCATTGGGGCATATGCATACAATGAAATGCTACTTAACCAAAAAAAAAACAAAAGTAATGAAGTACTAATACATATAAAGACAAGACTTACTTCAAAATGCATTATGCTAAGTAAAAACATTAGATTTTAACAACTTCTTCATGTATGATTTCATTTGTATGAAATTCTAGAAAACACAAAACTACAAGGACAAAAATTCATTTAAAGATTCCCAGTCAGGAGTTTGAGACCAGCCTGGCCAACATGGTGAAACCCTGTCTCTACTAAAAATACAACAATTAGCCAGGCATGGTGGTGGGCACCTGTAGTCCCAGCTACTTGGGAGGCTGAGGCAGGGGAATCGCTGGAATCTTGGAGGTGGAGGTTGCAGTGAGCTGAGATCATGCTACTGCACTCTAGCCTGGGCACAGAAGCTAGGCGTAGTAGAAAGGAATTGACTATATAGGGGCACCAGGGGAGTTTCTGGCTGGGATTGTTTTATAGTTTGAATGTGGTAGGGCCTGTGTAACTATGCTTTTATCAAAACTTGTTGAATTGTGCAAGTAGAATTAGTGAATGTCACTTTCTGAAATTCTACTACAATAAAGTTGAATAAAAAGAGACTCCCAAACCTATATTTTTGAGAACCTATTTCTGAGTCATAAGTCCAATGAAGTTTACCTTATATGGTTCTTATTTGTCATGCACTCTTTTCTCTTTCTGTTTTTTCACAGTATCTATGGGTTTCCATCACCATTTCTTCTCTATGAACTCTCAGCACTGTGCACAGGTTTTATAATTCTCCACCATGTTAACTGTAACAGAAAGCATTTTGCATTAGCTCAACTAACCATGTTCCAAAAACAGATGTTCTGTTTTATAGTGTAAATGTATTTATATATTAATATGTTATAACATATTAATATAAATATATCAATTATTAATAATATAAATATATTACTATTTTGTGCATATGTATAAAATATTAATACAAATATATTAATATAAATATATTGATATTTTGTGCATATATATATTCTCATGACAAAATTTTGTGTAACATAAAAGGATAGGAAGAGGAAAGTGAAGATCTGCCTTTTTTCCCTCCAATCAAATCCTTCAACTGGGAGCAATTACTGTTAATACATAGTTTTCTGAACATTTGCATAAGTAGGGCAGTTGTATAGTAGGATGACATATTTTTTGTCACGTGGCATTATGTCTAAGGGAACTTAACATGTCAGCTTATATAGATGGATTTCCATCTTGTGATTGTGACATGTACAAAATAGAGCAAATATACTGTAATTTGTTTAGTCATTTCTCTATTATTGAACACTTACTTAGGAGTTTTCCAATTTTGATAGTTTCCATTGCAGTGCCAAAGTAGATCCTATTAGATGTTTATTTCTAAAATTGGCAGCTAAGACACAGATATTATATCTTGGGCTCACCTGTTACGTAAGTAAATAGCCTATTACATGCTAGGTAGGTGCTGTACCTGTGTATGAATAAAAACACATCATAGAAATCAGCAAGGAAATCCTTCTTCTTAAACACTAGATGAGATTGCTTCAAGCTTTCACTGAACACTTTCTTAAAAATCCTCCTCAAGATTTTAACGAATTATCTGTAGTCTTACAATTTTTTGGTCATTCTCCTCCTGCCCCCCCACACGTCCTCTGATTTAACTTAGTTTCAAAAGTATGCAGCTGTTCCGTGTGTAGCATTCTTTTTCTAATTATTTTGGCCTGTCATGTAACAAACACAGCATTTTCCTTAGTGTTCATAAAATCAAAATTCTTACTCATGCTGTGTGTGTTTTAACCGACCTTACTCAAGTTTTCAAGGGCCAGAAAAATGTATGTAACTGAGCACTGTAGCACTGCAAACACCTAAAGTTGTGTGTTAGCCATCCTCCTTAAAATCGTAAAGTTCCTGGGCCTGGTCTGGATTCTAGCTTCAGTCTGCTGTCTTCTGTTGCAGACTGCATTTCTACTTCTTTTTCTTATTTATTCTTCACCTCTTTTCTCCCTTGTCTATTTCTTTTGTTTCAGGAACAGCAACAATAGCAAGAACATATTTCTCCCACTGCAGAGCATTTAAGCTCCCCTCGGCCAAATTGTCTAATTACAAATTTAACTCAACACACTTCGCAAACTCGGGCTGGGCTGAAACGTAAGTGTTTGAGTAGTAGCCCATATGTAGTGGCCTACCAATGTCGACCATATGTAATGGCCTCACACGATTTAGTAGACAGAGATGGTGTCCTCTTCAATCTCTATCTGGTTGAGGGAGCAGGGAGCTCACAGTCTAATAATGTACAGACCTGTTGAGACACCAGTGGACTACCATGTAATGGAAGAAGAGTCGAGGGAACACTGAGCAGGGTAGGATTAATTCTGCTTTGAGGTAGTCCCAAAGACTGCCAAGAGGAGGCAGTACCCGAAGATAAGTCACGTGAGTCAGAGGTGAGGGTGGTTTTCTATGAAAGGTAGAAGCCCTGTAAATTTGAGAAGGAAAATACTCCAGGAGACATCTGCTACCCTGCTGATCAAGAGTCTACTCAGTACAATTTCACTAGTTGTTTTGACTTCAACAATAAATCATCAACCTAATGTAGGCGGGCCCTACCATTCATAGCAAGTGCACGCTACTGTTGAGGTAGACCCAAAGCACCAGAAAAGCAGAAAGAGTGCCATTGCCATTATATGCTACTTTATATTGCAATCCTTAGCTTCCATTTTTGAAATATTTTTTTCTGTCAACACCAGCAGTGAAAATTAGACTATGTGCACAGGTTAAACGTGCTTTGAAGAGCTAACAGAAATAATAAAACATTTCAGATCTGAGAATAATTTTAGCTGTCTATTTGATTGATCAGGAGTCATGGCACAGAAAGGAAAAAAAGAAGGTAAAATTAAGGAATATGTCCAGATGAAAGAGAAGTGCCACATACCTACTACTCCCTTTCTGCCCAAAGTGCCAGCATCTCTTCTTAAATAAACTGCATTTTACTTTACTCTATTTGTAGAAAAGGATACTCTAGAACTAGGAACTCCATTTCCATGATACCTGGGAACAGAATAAAAAATGTAACTACAAAAATTACAATATAAACGCTACTGTAGAAAACAGAAAATATGAGTCAAAACATTTCAGCTGAAGAAATTCTTCCCCCAAACCAACTAGGAAGTAAGATAAACTGCAATAAAACTCTTCAGGCTGAATTAAATATCCTCAAATAAGCATCTGAAGATAATAAATTTCCAGAAATTTAACAGTGAAGTAATATTTTCATCTGATCTACGTAGTCCATATTCTAGAATCACATACTGCATTTAGTTTTTATATCTCTTTCACCTTCTTTATTCTGTCAGGGTTCCTCTGCCTTTCTTTACCATGGCATTGGGAGTTTTGAAACAGGCTAGTAATTTTACAGGACGTTTCTTCATTTGAGCTTGATTGATGTGTTCTCGTGATTAGACTCGGTTATACAGCGGCAAGTGGAATAATGCAGCAGTGATGTGGTGTCCTTCTCGGGGTACCATATACCCCAAATACAAGACATCTACATGCCTCTTATTGGTGAGGTTACTTTGCATCAAAAGGTCAGGTGTCATTTGCATTCTTCGCTGTTTAGTTAGTACTGTTCTCCTTGTAATGAATAGCTGTCTGAGGAGATACTTTGAGAACATGCAAGCAGCCTGCTTCTCATCCAGCTCTTCCCAAAGATAAGTATTATCCTGATATTTCTTGCCTAAATTATTCTTTACCACCATGGTTGCAAATGGTATTCCCTGCCCCGCCTCCCTTCACCCCGCCACTCCATGACTCTTCCTTTCACATGTATCAGCTGGCACACTAATTTAAAGAAATGTTCTCTTGTCTCCTCTGCTTATTTATCCATTTATGTATGCACATCTCTGTGTGTTTGCTTACTTTAAAGATGAATAATTTCCTACTTTATTTAATCATCCTATTTTATTTAATCCTTACAATCCATTGCAATCCTCATTTATTTTGATACTCAAATTGTCCCTAGATTTGGTCAGTGGGAACCCCTTCAAGCTATTGCCTATTTCTTTTTGACATGTCCCCATTGTTTTCTTGAGCACTCCCTTTCTTTCTGGCACAAAAAGGTGTTCCAGTTTTCATCATGTACCTTCTCTGTCCCAGCCCTAGAACCAGACATTTCTCCAAGAGGCTCTTGTTCCTTTCAGTAGGGACAGGCATTAAAAACCATCTGGGCACAAAATTCGCTTATGGCTCTTAAGGTATTAGTGCTTCTTTTGTGGGTAGAATTTGGAGAAAAGTAATATATATATGTGTGTGTGTGTGTGTATATATATGTATGTAAATATATGTGTGTATTGTACATACATATATATCTATCTCATACTGAGACTCTAGTCTGTTTGCTTAGCTACATTTGACTTAGGTGCTAATTTCAGCCAGAATTAGGAGAGGGAAGAGATGAGGGAGGATGGAGAGTGAGAGAGAGAGAGAAAGAATTCCTCAGGATCTCTTATAAAGTAAATTCTAGAAGCAGTGAGTAGGAGTGGTTGCACTTTACTTCTGGACTCTGTGCATTAACTTTTCCCATTCATGTCTATGAAGATGTTTTCTGTTCAAATGCTAACCTTCAACTGGGCTTCGATGTGGGGAGGGAAGAGTTTTCAGCTCATCTGCACCCATTTGCTTTTCAGTGTCTCCTGCATTTTGCTATATCCTAGAAAACCACTATCCAGGTACAGGTACCTGGTCTTTGCTACTTTGCTTTAGAAATAAAAATTAGAAGGTAGAACTGAAAAGATAATGTTAAATAAATGGTTTAAGAATGCCCAGACCACCTAAGAGAAAAATGAACACTGTATAGATTATGTTATGCCCACAGATCACTGTGATAAATAAGACTCCATGGCCGGGCACGGTGACTCACGCCTGTAATCCTAGAGGCCGAGGCAGGCGGATCACAAGGTCAGGAGATCAAGACCATCCTGGCTAACACGGTGAAACCCCGTCTCTAGCGAGACTCCTCCCCAAAAATAAAAAAATAAGACTCCTTGAACAAACCTTGAATGGTGTGCACGTTCTGTGGCCATTTGCCATTTCAAGATATCCAGCCACTCAAAGGATTTCAATCAGAAAAGATTTCACAAGATCTATGATACAGTCTTTTGTAAAACCACTTTAGATGTCATTTTATTTTCTCATTTTACTTTTAGCAAGCACAGAAGAGGTGAGAAACGCATCTTAGCTGGAATGGAACAAAGGAAGATTTGATACTTTTTTTAGAAGCTTTTACAGTAGAATCTATTCTTTTTTTTTTTTTTTTTTTTTTTTGAGACGGAGTCTCGCTCTGTGGCCCAGGCTGGAGTGCAGTGGCCAGATCTCAGCTCACTGCAAGCTCCGCCTCCCGGGTTCCCGCCATTCTCCTGCCTCAGCCTCCCGAGTAGCTGGGACTACAGGCACCCGCCACCTCGCCCGGCTAGTTTTTTGTATTTTTTAGTAGACATGGGGTTTCACCGTGTTAACCAGGATGGTCTCGATCTCCTGACCTCGTGATCTGCCCGTCTCGGCCTCCCAAAGTGCTGGGATTACAGGCTTGAGCCACCGCGCCCGGCCAGAATCTATTCTTTAATGGATAACATTATGAGAGAAAATAAGATTATAATGGAATAAAAAGTGGTCTAATGTTCATCATTCAATTTAGTGGATATGTTATAAGATTATTTCTAAAATCTTTTGTAGATAAAACTAGATGCCTTTCTTGATTCTGTGACTGGTATTACTCTATCATAATTTCTGAACCCTTTATTAAAAATGTTTTACTGAACATACTAAAGCATATTATGTAAAAGATAGTGAGCTATGGTGCAAGATACTATGCAACATGCCCCTCAATATTATGACTAACTGTCCATCTATTTATACATAGAATTTATATGATATAAACAGATTGGCAAATACTATAATTATTATAAAATGATTTTTCAAAATCTGTATTTGTATCTAACAAAATACTAAAAAAGAACTGTGTCAAAATAAAATGTTAGAATTTCATAAGTCTTTTGTGCCTAGACATTGCTGAGATATAAACCCTTTTTTCATGAATGCTTTCTCTACTGACTCCTCACCCTGAGTTGACGAGTACTCTGCCCCTTGCTCTCTGTGCTAAAACACAGACAAGAGTGAGTGGTGGTGGTCCCTAAGAAATAACTAGATTACAAACATTATTGCATTATCTTTCATAGAAGCCATAACAGTCAGGGGATGGTAATTCATAGGTAGGTATGAAGTATATAAGGAAACAACAAAGAAGACACTTCTGTAGAGCTTAGAGAGAGACTAAGAAGATCCGAGAAAGGAGGAGTATAAGAGAAAACGGGAAGCTGACTTGTGGATCCAAGGAAAAGCCCTAAAGATGGGTCTGAATTACAGGGACTGCAGCCAGGTGAGTGGGTAATCCTGTGTTAGAACCATCCTGAGGCTCACAGTCTTCTCACTCTGGACCAAGGTGACCATTCACCCCATCACTTGTGGTGAGGATTTGGCATTCTTTTCAGCCGCCTCATCTGACTGACCAAGAGAAGGTTTCCTTTTCTTTACCTCTGCCTCATTTTTTTTTCATGTAGACTTGTCTCAAAGCAATGTTCAGGTCAGTAGAAAGTTCAAGAAAAGAAGAGACTTTGGACACTCATTAGGCTGAGGAGAGCTCAATTTACTGCATTTAATTTTTTTCAGTAATTATTCTTTCATACATTATTTTCTGAAAACTTTTTTCTCTCCTATCCTTTGGGGAATCCGATTACCCTTATAAAAGGCCACTGAAGTTATCCCACTAATGTTCTCTTCCCATTTTTTTTTTTCATTTCAGATACTTTCTATTGTTAAACAATTACATTCACTGTTTGGTTTTTTTTTTTTACTGCAATTGATAATCTGCTTTTTATTTCATCCAGTATAGTTTTCGTCTAAGACATTATGTTTCCATGTTTGTTTGGTTGATCTCTAGAAGTTGATTTCATATTTTGCTGTCTCTTCCATGTCTCTCATTTGATGCTTTCCTCTAACTTTTCCAACATAGATACCTGTTTTAATGTCATTATCTACTAATTTTAGCAACTGTGTCATTGTGGGTCTGTTTCTCTTGATTGATTTTTTTCTCTTCAATATGTATCATATTTTTCTGCTTATTTGTATGCCGGATATATTCTTATCAAATGCTGGACATAGTGAATTTTACCTTATTTTGTGCTGAGTAGTTAAGCTTTATTCTAGGATGCAGTTAAGTTACTTAGGAATAACTTGTTTGTGTTGAAGTTTGCTTTTAAGCTTTGCTTGGTAAAACCAGAGCACCTTTTAGTCTAGGTAGAATTTTTTCCACATTAGTGAGACAATACCCTCCTGAGTACTCTAACTGATTCAAGGTTTTTCTACTCTGGCTAGTGGAAACACAAACTACTTATGACCCTATGTGATTTCTGGAGACTTTTTTGCCTTCCCTTGCTTGTGGTTTGTACCCTGGCCTTGATCATTTCCTCACATACTTGTGTTAATCAATATTAATTGGAAGATTCAATAAATCTGCACATCCCCTGAAAATCTCTGAAGCTGTCTCTGTGGATAATTTTCTGATCTCTGTTATTCTTCTTTGTGAATTCTTGCTGCCTTCTTTTTCTCAAACTCTCATCTCTGACATGGAGAACTAAATTTGCAATGAATCAGCTAAATTTAATGATCAGATTTCTCTTCAGAAAAATGTTTTTCGTCAGGAATCTGGAAAGTGAATTGGAATGGATAGGACTATTTGGTGATATTACATTCCAGACTAAGAATTGGGAGGGTCGTAACCAAGGCAGTGCAGTGAGAGTGGAGAGGAGGTCATGGATTAAACTGCTACTTTTTTTTTTGGTGATGGGGGAAGACAAGAGTTGGTTATCAATTAGTTGTGAGTAGTGAGGGGAAAAGAGAAAGTCAGGTTGGCTCCGAGGCTCTTGGCCCAGGTGATTGGTTGAGAATATGGGCTGTTCATCAAAATAGGAAACACAGGAGGGAAAAGACAATGTTGA